AGCTAGGCTCAATTAAATTAAATTCATGTAATTAGGCCTGTTCTGCCAGAAATCTGGTTACCCCGGAATCAATCCATGTTCCCTTCGTCGTTAATTAGAAAGAAACCAAGCATTTATTTTATTCGCTCATTCGCATTAGTTTAGTTTAATTTTAATTCAACAATCAATCTCGCACAATTGCATTTTTATTTTATTTTGTTTCTTTTTAATCGCTGAATTTAGTTGATCTTTAATTCCCTTTTGTTCGTCCCTGCGGAGACGATACTCGTACTTTCAACCACTTTACTACATCCTTTTTAAGTGCGAGAAAACACACATTAATTTTTGGCGCCATTGTCGGGGACGGTGTCGGATTTAAGAGTTAATTAATATGAGCGACTTGTATTAGTTTTTCGTAGGATTTTTGTCTGCTAACCTTGCAGGTCAGATCTGTTTATGCATACACGCTCTAAGAAGGGAGAATCCATAGTCCCTCTTAATTTTGAGATTGAGAAGTTTGCTAGACAAAACCTCAAGGCTTTTCGTGAGAAGAACACAACCATGGAACAATCATCTGCATCTGGAATAGCTGGGACGTCTGAGGTCCAAACCACTTCTGTTAACCTTGATTTCTACATCAATACCTCTCCCCAGTCTTCACCGCCTATTTCACCTAGAAATTACTCGGGATTTCAGAATTCCCGCAACTCATTCTTTCCTCAAAATCAGACCACACCCCAAATCAACATGACTCCGCTTTATCAACTCTTCCAAAATACATCTACTGCTCCCGAAACCACTTTCCAAAATCAAACATATGGGATGCAAGATATTGTGCAAAATAATCCACTCTTTCAGCCGAGACAAAACCAGCCTCAAGTCACTCAAAATCCACTCACTCATCAACCACAAACTCAGCCCTTCCAAAACCAATTTCAACAATACCATCAGCCCCAAGCACAGCCAAACATAGCCCGTCAACATCCTCTTAGACCACAACCAGTTCTTCAACCAAGACATCGGCCCCTCCATTCCAGAACTATGTCCCGCATAACAATCCGCTTTACTAATGAGAGACCATTGCAGATTTCCCAGCCCCTGAGATTACAGAGTATGACAGTATTCAAGTGCAGGGAATTACTACACCCCACTATGAGATCAACCCAGCAGTGATTAACATGGTGTCCAATAATCAGTTTAATAATAACCAATTATTAAATACTATTAATAATTTAATAATAATAATAATAATAATAAAGGTCATAGCTCAAACAACGGTTTTGTCAGAAGCTCAAGAGAAAATATTCATTTAACGCATGCAAATTAAGAATCACAACATGCTCTCAAAGTTTGTAACGTTCAAATAACTAATTTTCATTATAGATATAATTTTAATATGAACAGATAAAAGTAGAATGTAAGTATAAGATGTATAGGCATTTATTATTAGATTAATGTGTAAATAATAATTAAGAGAAACAATATTTTATTCATTTGAAATACTCTCAAATTTTCCAACACAAATATTGTATATATAACAATAAAAATGAATCTAAACATACAATTGATGGAAGCATTTTTCTTTATTTCTTGAAAGTGTCAATAAAAAACCATTTTGATCCACTTAATTTTAGAACTTCCACGTAAGAAAAATTTTGAGCCTAAAAACCTCCATCAATTGTATACTTATATTTTTATTTATTTTTATATATGTAATATCGGTGTCATAAGAAAGATAATAATAATTTATGAATTTTGATTTTATAAAATCCGGATTTTAAATAAAGTAAGTTATAGAAATTTTAAAAAGAGAGTTTTTTAGCGTCCTTTGTGTTTTCTCCTTTCTCCTGACTTGCTGGCGTCCTTTGTGTTTATTGATTTTAAGAGAGAAAGTCATTAAATGAGCACTTTTATTGATTCGATTTGAGTTGTTTTTAAATATAAATATTATAACTTAACGTTACTTATTGACACTTTTTGAGAAAGTAACCAACTAATTTGGTGACTTTAGATCACTAGAGTAAGCAGTATTTTGGGAAATATTTTTAAATCAATCCTAATTTTGTAAATAATTTTTTATCTAGCATTATTTTGGGGGGAAATTCGCTACAACGTGATGAGAAGCACTTTTAGTAAAAGAAAGCTAAAAAGAGTAAGTTTGTCTTACATGAGTCAGGTTTTGTAATTTTAGGGAGTCTCTTAAAAAAGATATGATTTTTTTAAGAAAAGATAAGATATGTTTAATAACTCCAAACCACTATCTTCTCAATGAGATATTTGAGCTAGAGTAGAATTGTCTAGCCTATAGATATGGTACTCATTTTTTTATTTTTAAGTTGCACCTATACAACTTTAATGTTATCGCTATACTTGAAAACTCAAGTGTTCATAAATTTTCATATGGATAACACTGTATATAAGTCTATAATTGACAAAGCAGGTTTGCTGGTATAATTTTGTCGGTAACATATCAATTATATAGACATTGCTTATACTCAATTATCTTAATTAGAAGTATAGAATATAATGCGATATTTTAATTTCATAGATATATGCATCCTTCATATCAAATATCTAAATACACATTTGTCTTGATGCTATCTCAAATTTATGTTCACCTTTCTGATTGAGAATTTTTTCAATTGTAAGCAATTTTTTTATCTCATTAATGAAAGTAGATGTTACTTTTTTACTTTAGTGAATATATTAATATAATCTTGATATATTTTGGCCGAGAGTTCCAGCTCTTAAAAAGTTTTAATAATTACATATATAACAATCATATTCTGACACTAAAAAGTTACATGGTAAATATTCCCCGGCATTTACCCCACCGATTTTGGTGGTTGGCCACCGTTTTTTTAAAGAGCTAGATAAATAAGCTAGATTGAGTATACAAGGGTAAATGTTTTACTCATAGGTGAAACTTTAATATAGTAATATTTGATAAAAAAAAAGTAAGATCATTTTTCATTTTTGAATATGGGACTTTTTTTTCATTGCATAGGTTGACATGTTTATATTTCAATTATAGCTACATCTTGATGAGAATTTTTTCATATATTTTATTCATCTGGCCTTCTAGGTAAAAATTATCTACTGAAAATCTAAAGCCCACAACTACACACCGTTAACAGTTAACATTCTTTTTTCAAATTCACTTTTAGGGCACACCCATGTTCTTAAATGCATTATCTTCTAGGAAAGAAATATGGACAACTATTATGAAAATAATTTGTTTATGGTTCATGTGTTGCTCTTTCAATGAAATTAATGTTTATTGTTCGTTCACATCATGAATCGTAAAACTTAAGAGATTTATCTAAATAACATCCTAAACAATGATATCTATTTTTAAACTACACCTCTCATATTCAGAAATGAAAAATCTCATTTTTCATGAATTACCTTTAGTACACAATCTAACTTATTTATCTAGCTCTTTAACATCACTTTTAATTTACTGTTAGGATATAATTTTTATTTATGTAATTAATAAAATTTTACCAGTGTATGAAAGTTTCTAAAATATAAGAAGACATTGGTAAAAGAGAAACCCATTGAAATAAGAAAAACAGTGAATAATGACCTACTACAATATCTGCTGTAAAACTAAACAATTAATAAAAATTTCTTCTACCACTAGATAAACTGACAAATAACTTATCAGCTTTCAGAGATTTACAAAGAGATATTTGGTGAACATATGAGATTTCTTATGTTATGAAGTGTTTAAACAAAGAATTTGTTATCTTCCATTTCGATTTATGGAAGTTTTATTAATTACATATAGCAATCATATCATCACATTAAAAGTGGTTTTTAATAGCTAGATAAGTAAGCTAGATCATGTATAAAGGATAATTCTTTTACTCGATGATGTAATTTTAACATATTTGGTCATGGAAATTGAGATCATTTTTTGTTTCTGAATATGGGACATTTTTTTTTTAATTTTTCGTTGCATAGTTTGGCATGTTTATGTTTTGATTATTAGCTCCCACTTGATGTGAAATACTTTTTAAGGATTTAATTCATCTCATCATTTTATTTGATGAACATTGTCTACTAAAAGTCTATAATATGTAACATTTCCTCGTTCAATGTAACTCAAGGACGCCACTACTTTTGGCGCAACAACGCTACTGGAAAATTTGATCTCGAACATAGCCTTTGGCTCCGGTACCAAAGGCCTCCTTTCTCAACAGAAGCTCCTCTCTGCTAACGCCCAACCACCGCATTAAATGCGGTGACACGTGCCGACACCCCCTCAGCTGGGGGGCTCTCCACCATAGATTAGCTTACACGTGCACGTGCATTTACTGCAACCCCACTTCCTCTCTTTTACTTATTGCTCTGATTTCTCTCTAGATACCACTAGCGGACTAGCGGTATCCCGATATAGACTATCTATGATAAAGTTATAAAAAGATACTACAAGTGTATGAAATTTCATCTGATGAAGATCTTTAGGCTTAAAATTTTTCTTAAGTAGATCCAAATGTTAAAATCAATTACTCGTGAATATTTTTTTTACATCTTTTGGTTATGTTTTTAAAATATAGGTCTGAAATGACAAAAGAAACTCTGAATTTATTTATTTTTACATCAAAATGTTTGACTATTTAAATCATGGTTATTGATAAAATAAAATTGTCACAAAAACGATGTGCATTAAAAAATGTAACGATTTATGCATTTAGTTTTATAAAAATATGTATGTAATCATCAAAAGTGCTAGTTTACAGGAAAAAACTGAATTAATTGAACAAATACATATAAAATGATGTTTGACATTTTATATACTAGTATTGAAGTGTTTTAGGAACGCACTTTCTGTGTACTTTTAAAAGTACACCATTGACGAATAGGTTGTAGTAATTATCTCTAGAGTTTGAAAAACAACACATCTGGGGAAAAGATATGGAGTAATTAATTAGCCCGTAATTATCTTAAACGATTCATCCGAACTCCGAAGGCCGTTAAAATATTTGGTTGCGCATTTTAAGTTACAACCTTATCAGGACTCTCAATTTTTTTTAAAATTTTGAATAGATTCCCGTGATCTGCTAGTGTATTTGAACTCCCCTTAGTAGCCTGTTACAAGAACTCCATCCATTCTGCGATCAAAAAGAGACGCAAAAATGGAAATAGTTTCAGGCCCTTTTACCTCTTGCTCCAAAGAGCAGCAGAAACTCTACCAGAACTGGTTTAATTTAGCTGATTCAGGTTTTCCTCTCTTCTGGTTTACATTTTCGTTTGTTTTCATTTTCAATTCCAATAGTTTCACGAACTGATGCCGTTCAATCTCTCGATTGTCTGTGATGCTAATGCAGACGGAGATGGTCGTGTCACCGGAAGCGACGCCACCAAGCTTTTTGCATTGTCGAATCTTAGTAAACATCAACTCAAGCAGGTAGCCACTCATATCTTTTTAGCTTTTTGGCGCGGGTGTTCACGCAAAGCTTCGATCATGTCATTTTACATTGAAACCATAATATGACGATTACTGTTATTAAGGAAGGTTGTTTTTCGGATGTTTGCCCTGTTTTGGTTCATTTGTTTAGCTATTGTAGTTTTGTTGTGTGCCAGTGATTTTGCTTGAATGTGTTGTCATTATGGACTATTTTGCTTGTTCGATCGATCTGATGAAGACTTGTTCCAAGTTTATCTTTTAGTGATCAATGAATTGCAGTTAATAAACAAAGATAAATGTTTCATTTTCCCATTGATAAGAAATATATTTGCTGCGCAGTGTTTGGTTCATTAGGATTCCCTCGGTGTACTATTATTTTCTTCTATTTGAGACTGTGAAAGCAAATAGACTTTTTCCGGAATGCAAATTCAAATTATTTTAAGAGGCAACCCAAGAGCTGAGTGTTGTGTTTCTGAGAATCATATTTCAGGCTCAAATATTTCCATTTTAGACATTTCATTTTTAAATTCACGCAATAATTTTCACAATAAATGCCAAATAATTATAACTTTCAAAAGTTCTTTGGTATTACAATCCTCAAAAACAATCTTCAAGATTTTTCCCAAACGCAACCTCGATCCCAAACTAGGCCTTGCCCTTTATGCTTACCTGCTTGGTGCTTTCAGGTTTGGGCTCTTGCTGACTCCAAACATCAAGGTTTTTTAGGCATCAATGAATTTATTACTGCGATGCAGGTACTTTTTATGACTTACCTAATTCCTTCATTCATTAGTGACCATGATTCTAAACAGTTATCATCTTTGTGGTGCTATAGCTGATATCCTTGGCACAAGAAGGAAAAGAGCTAAACTCAAGCCTCCTTAAAACTGCAGGCAAGTCAGCAAGTGGATTAATCCACAGTATTCTTTGCATGCTCAGTTTTGGTGCTAGTGGTACCGATAATTTTCCTGGTTATTTGTTCATTATGCCCAGACCTTAATTTTGTCCAGGTGTATCCCAATAAGTGTTCTGTAAATATGCTTTGCAGAGTGAATGCTTTGTTTTGATACAAGCTGTTGTACTCTTTCTTTTCCCTTTCATTATTGGATTTTACTTTTTATAGATGGCATGCGGCATGTGGATCCTCCAACAATGAATGATTTCGATGTGTTGCTTTCTGTAAGTGCTTCTTCAATTGTACCTCCATCACTATAATCCTTGATACAAAGGTTATTCGGCATTTAATGGTACTTTTTCGGTCTCAGAATACCAATGGCTCACTGTTTGAAACCAACTCTGATTCAAATGGTAACAAGCCAGACACAAATGGTAGCAAGCCAGACACAAATGGTGTGTTTAAAAGCTTTCTAATTTATCTATAATAAGTCATCAAAACTTATATCTGTTCAATTTTTGTATTCAATAAAGGAATAAACATTTGTTTAAATATAAACTAAAACTAATGCAGGAACTACACAGTCGCAGATAGCATCATATGTCAAAATGTTCAGCTCAAGATCTAGAAAGAAGGTTAGTTTCCATCCCATGTCATTGTTATATGTTAACACCAAGTCACCCACCACTCTCCTTAGACCTTATCTCTGTCACCACATGGTTTCTTCATAGATGTTCTCTTTCATACTATTGTTCTATTGACACAATGCTTTGGTTCTCTAGTTGACACCCTATAACACTACCATATGTTAGCTTAGAGTTAGAGTGGCAGTGGGGAGTTTAAACATTATCAATCAAATTTTTTATTGGGAATTCATATTATAGTATCACAAGTGTAAAAGATTTTTTAATTTATTTTCTTGATTCATGCTTCCTTTCTCTCGTTTTCTTCAGGTCCAACCTACTCTTACTGCTGTAACTTCAGTAATTGATGGCTTAAAGAGGTTATACAATACAAAGCTGAAGCCGTTGGAGGCTACCTACCGTTTTAATGATTTTGTATCCCCAGCATTGGTGAGTCGATAAAGTTATACAACCTCCATTATTAAGATATATTTATTTGCTTATTTCTTTCTTACTTCTCAATATGCATTTCTTTACTCTTCATGTAGACGTGTAGTGATTTTGACGCTAAACCCATGGTTATGCTTTTGGGTCAATACTCAACTGGGAAAACCACTTTCATTAAGCACCTATTGAAGAGCAACTATCCAGGTTAGGCATATACATTGTTATTTGTTTTTTATATTCTCATACATATTTTTCTATAAACTACCAAATGTTCCAAATTTTTGCTGATCTGTTTCCCATTAAATAGGATCTCACATTGGACCAGAGCCAACTACTGATAGATTTATTGTTGTTTCGGTAACACACTTTAATCTAAGACTTTCCTTTTTGACAACATGACGTTGTTACTTGTTAGATGTTTGATAATCATCATTGGCACATCATGCCTTGATTTTCATATCATTTGGACCCTTTGACTTTTATAGTCCGGACCAGATGAAAGGAGCATTCCTGGAAACACCATAGCTGTTCATGCAGACATGCCATTCACAGGGTTAAATACTTTCGGAGGAGCTTTTTTGTCAAAATTTGAATGCTCCCAGATGCCACATCCAGTAAGCAGCAATTGGATCCCCATTTTCCAATAGTGATTGAAAATATTAAGCTCCTTGCTAGTTAGGGTATATTTGGATTGCAGCATATTTGTAAAATGAAAAAAGCAAGGCTAAACGAAGTTTTTCTTATGTTTGTCTTCATCTTGTAAAATGCATTAGTAAATGTAATATGATAAATATTTTAAAACTTTTTAATTGATTTAGATTTATGTCTTTATACACAAACACTAGAAATACTGTAACACCCTAGCCTTAATCTCAAAAGAGTTGGAGTGCGCTAACATGAATTGACATATGATACACACTAGAAATAAGTAGAAAAATTTAGTTTGAAGTGTTGAACAAATAAATTTACCATCATTATAGTTGCCCTCTTTATGACTGCCTCCCTTTTTTCTTTGCCTGTTAGGATGTTACTTTACCAGTTCAAACGAATCCTTAATATTGGAAATTTGTAACATACAGCTCCTTGACCACTTCTCACTTGTGGATACACCGGGTGTCTTGTCGGGGGAGAAACAAATGATGCAACGAAGCTATGATTTCACTGGTGTTATATCATGGTTTGCAGCTAAGTGCGATCTCATTCTTCTCTTATTTGATCCTCACAAACTCGACATTAGTGATGAGTTCAAACGAGTTATATCATCTCTGCGTGGTCACGATGACAAAATTCGAGTTGTGTTGAATAAGGCAGATCAAGTTGATACCCAACAAGTAAGATGACTATTACTTGCAAACTATGTATTGCTTTCTTCGCTACACAATGATTTCTTTGTTGCCAACTTCAATTTTTTTTCTGTTGCAGCTGATGAGAGTTTATGGTGCACTGATGTGGTCCCTTGGCAAAGTTCTAGACACACCAGAGGTTGTTCGAGTTTATATAGGGTATGTTCATTCTTTAATAATGTATTATGCTCTTCAAAAGTATATCTTCTTGCATTGCTTGTAGGCATGGGGCTGGGCGGCTGGGCGGCTGGGCCCTTTTCATACATGAAAAGTATATAATACTTTTCATGTTCTAACCAGTGTGATATCTTTCAAAGTGTATTGCTTGTTGAATATTTCTTATTTTTCTTCAAGACTTGTGTAATGAGCAATAATTTGGAATTGGTGGTTGTTTTGGTGTTATGTTCCGGATATGGAATTCTAGTTCCTTCAATGACAAGCCTGTAAAGGAAGGTACTGACCATATGGGGAAGGATCTTTTTGAAAAAGAGCAAGATGACTTGCTTGAAGACTTGATCGATATACCTAAAAAGGCTTGTGATCGTAAGGTATGGTGTCCTTAAGATTAATGGCGATTGTGATGTGACCAGTTGTCTTCTTCGAGTAAATGTTTTTTCATCTGTTCATTTTTCAGATCAACGAATTTGTTAAACGTGCCAGAGATGCTAAGATTCACGCCTACATAATTAGCCATCTTAAGAAAGAGATGCCATCATTGATGGGGAAGTCTAAAGCTCAAAAACGTCTTATTAACAATCTTGAACATGTATTTGCAGAGGTTGGTCTCTTTTGCTCTCCCCATTTATATGTTTATTTACGGTTGTTCACGGCCCCTCCCTGCTCTTTGTGCTCTGTGATAAATTCCAACTGTGACCCGCCCTACAATGCCCTATACACATTGATCAGGTCCCCCGCCCGCTATTACACAACCCTACAAAATTAATATATGCTCCTCAGCTCTCTGAAAATTATAAACCACTTTTACAGCACTTGAAAGTTGAAATTCAAGAAAATGAAGTGTACTGTTAAGATTTATTTAATTGAGAAATGCTGAGCCACAAGTATTGCTTTCTAGGCAAAAGATAATAAGATTATTTAGGGACAACACTAGAAATCATACAATATCTGAATTACTGGGGCATAGCTCACCTCGTAGGAAGGGAGAACCACAAAGGGGAGATCTCGGATCCAACTCCAAGCAAAGACTTGGTATAGACCTTCACTCTCTTTCCATTAGCGTGAGATCAAACCTCAATTTACATCCTCTCAAATAATTGTCCGGTCCGTTCTGAGTGCCCCTCAATGGTGTCATCCCTTTTTTCATGCAAAATCCAAATTTAGTATAGAGCATTAGGAATGTCTCAGATATCTTTGAACATCCATGTTACACGGAAACCCGAGAATCACGGGAAACAAGAAACATCATTTTCAAAAAGTTTTCGTAAATTTTTGAAAACGTACTCTTTTATGAGAGTTTCCGTGTTTCACAACTGAGCACCTCTAATGTTGTTGTAACTTGCTTGCTATCTGAAACTGTAATTTGTGATGAAACAAATAAACAAACAGGTTCAAAGACAGACTCGTATACCGGCGGGTGACTTTCCGAGTGTGGCACACTTCAAGGATGTGCTGAAACGTTACAACATAGAAGATTTTGAGAAGCTGAAGCCAAAAATGATTCAAGCAGTGGATGAAATGCTTGGGCAAGACATTCCCGAACTTCTCAAGAACTTCAGAAATCCATATGACTAAATTACTGGTGGGGTTGGGTGGGACCCTCTAGAGTTTCAGTGTTTTGGTCGTAGTTGACTTAGTTGTTGAAAGAAGCTAGTCCAGTATGGACCTTTGTTTTTCCAGTAGAAACAGCTTGTTTTCTTTCCAGTAGGAGTGGTAGCTGTACAAGCGCAATTCAATAATTTCCATACCCGGTTAGAAAATTATTCCTTGGCTTGTATTTATTTGTTTAAATTGATCAATTCTTTCATTCATATCCATCTGCCTATTTATAAAGATAATTTACATTAAATCTCTTTTCCCAATTTGGCTCTAATAATACATTTCCTTCAACTATATATGTGATTTGGAGAATCCAGATAGCTAAGTGGGGAAAGAGAGGGGTAATCCTACGTTTATTTTAGATTTCCTTAATACTTTTTTATATCTACAAATTGGTTAGAATATTTTGGGATGCCTTCGTGTTTATTGCCTCATTTTCTAACGAGTGAAGCGCTATGTAGCACCGATACCGGTACGCGGAAACGCGGAAACGAGATACGTCAAAACAAAAAAAAAGTAGGATACGGATATGGGGCCATATTTATAAATATTAAAAGTTATGAGGGTGTATTTACAAATATTAAAAGTTATAGGGGTCTATTTATAAATATTTAAAATAGATTTTTTTGAATATATATATATATATATATATTCACATATAATATCCTATGATGTCTACATATTCATTGCATTGAAGCATTTTTCTTTTTCAAGATACTTAGTAAATTCATAATATTTCTCATATACACTAGTGCATCTGAAATATAAATGCAGTCAATAAGTCATTAATTTAAAATGAGAATTAAGTCAAACAACTACAATCTTGAAATTAAAAGTGCAACTACCCAATTCAGAGTATGAGTTAATGACTTAATTCAGATATAGCCATATAGGTCCATTATTTGATTACCAAGTAAAATGTTGTTTTAGATTTTCATTTTTTTTTAGAATTTTATTAAGTAAATTTTGTTTTTTTTTAAAAAAAGTTGATACGGGTATCCGTCAAGATACGAGTATCGGAAACTTTCAAAAAATTACAAAAAAAATGGAAACTTTTAAAAATTGCAGATATGGCCGGGGAACGTACGGTACGGGTATTTTAGAGTATCGGATACGGGAACGTATCGCATACGCCGATATGCTACCCTAGGGACTTCTCCGTGCTTCATAGGTGAAAGTGAATATATTTTGTTCTAACACTTTATTTACACTTGGACCCTAAGGAGTTTGGGGCGTTATATTTGATGCATTAAAGTATTACATTAAAAACAATAATTTTTAGTTGCTTAGTAGTTATTTGAGAATGGAACTATGGAAGTAATAATGTATTAATTGGACTAAATAGGTTTTCCTATTTTAGTTAGTTTCCTTATGTATTCAGGACACATATTTTATTATATACTACGTATATGACATCCAGGCTACCCCATTGGTAAACCTGCCATTATTTTCACTTGGTATCAAGAGCCCTAGGTTTTAGACAATACTATTTTTTTCGTTCCTCATGTCTTCTTCAGAAATAACCGCCACCGCTGTGTCGAGTTCCGTCACCACCGTTGCAACGACGGTGGGCAACTCGCCAGTATTGAGCGCGGTCCACACGCAGACCGGTCCTTCAGCACAATACTCCGCTTACACGGAGATTCCATCTTTGCCGCTCTCCTCTGCGTATACACCACTGTCGTCGACCTGGATTCCGCCACTCTTCACCTGGACACCAACGCCTCCAACCGTGCAGCCCTCGGTTCTCTCTCCTGCTGAGCATCATGCCGAGTCCAGTGCCACTGCAGCCCATTGTGCGCAATTTGCCGGACCGACCCTATCCGGGCACCCTGGCCTGCTGATGCCTTCTTTGACTGGCGCGATCAAATGACGTTCTCCAGCCCCACAGATTCCTGCTTCATTCTCTGCCTTAGCGCAGAATCTGTCTTTTGGGGCATCTATTACTCAATTTGAATCCTATTTGGTGTCTCATGGCCTCTTAGGCATTTTGATGGCTCGCTTCCGGCTCCACAGTTGTGCACATACGATCTTTATCAAGCTCAAGCAATTAATCCAGAGTATTATAATTGGTTAAAATTGGACCAAACTGTTCGTTCTTGGCTATTTGCGACCCTGTCTCGTGATATTTTGATTGAGGTGCATGAATTGAAAAATTCTACATCTATATGGCAATCCTTGGAGTCCCGCTTTATGGCAGGTAGTCTGGCTCGTTGCATGGAGTTGAAACAAATGCTGACTCATATGAAAAAGAAAGATACTCAGACCATGGAACAATACTTATTTGAAATCCGGAATATTGCTTCCTCCCTGGCTTCCATTAATTCTCCGGTGTCTGATCGTGATCTGTTGCAACATGCGCTTCTCGATTTAGGACCGGACTATGAATCTCTCGTTGGTCTGCTTACCTTGTTCCCGGAAGGCCTCACCTTTGATAAATTGTGTACTAAATTAGTCCATCAAGAAGCCCGACTGAATTTTCAGCGCCGCATGGACTCTTCCTTGGCAGTGGGTGCTCCGGCTTTTGCAGCTCTGGTGGCCGTAGGGGTCGCGGCAGCAGCACCTGCCGGCGGACAGCAGGCCAACCGCGCCAGGGGAGGAGGCCGCGGACGGGGTCAACGCGGCCGAGGGTGTGGTCGCGGACGCTACCAGTAGTATCAATAGCAGCCGAACTACGGCCAGCCACAGCAACATCACGGCCAGCCTCCCGCACCGCGTCAGCAGCAGTTCTACGGCCAGGGCCCACCTCAGCCGCAACCTTTGGGACAACCGGGTACAGTACTATGTAATTCTGTTGAGTCATTGTTGAATACTTCTACCTCATCTGCTTTTGGTACTAACTATGGTTCTGCAGGTCCTTTATCTTTTGAGAATAGTTTTGGTTTTGTTCCTCCACTCGTTGCCTACCAGATTTGTCATTTCCCTGGTCATTCTGCGGTTGTGTGTCTTTCCCGTTTTGTTCAAACTCAAGCATCTGCATTAGTTGTTCCTACTGGTGAATCCACTCCTACTGTATGGTATCCTGACTCCGGTGCCTCCGCTCATATGACCTCTAATGAATGTATTTTGGTAAATAAATCTATTTCTACTCAACCGCTAAATGTTACGGTGGCTAATGGTACTAATTTACCGCTTATGACTGTTGGTAATTTAACATTCCCTGCTATGCCTAGACCTCTCCATTTAAAATTTGTTTTCATGTCCCTAATTTAAAATATAATCTACTCTCCATTCAAAGATTATGTGCCGATAATAATTGTTTTGTAATTTTTGATAAATCTTCTGTCCGTGTAAATGACAAAATTTCGGGGGAGGTGTTTCTTCAAACTTCCAGTAAAGGTGGAGTCTATCCTATTTCCTTTAGCCACCCTCAGCCGATTGCTCTTATTTCCCATGTTGCTCCTGGACCTGTTTGGTATAGACGCTTGGGACATTGTGGCAACCGTATCTTAGATAAACTTAAAAAGTCTGGGTCTATTTTGAGTACTTCTACATTTTCTCATGATTGTGTTTCTTGTAGATTAGGAAAATCACAACGATTACCTTTTGAGGAGGTTTGGCATAAATCTTCTTCTCCTCTATTTTTAATTCATTCTGATGTGTGGCAATCTCCAGTTATTTCTGAGAATGGTTTTAAATATTATGTATTATTTATTGATGATTTCTCTCGTTTTACTTGGCTTTATCCGATGCGCAATAAAAGTGATGTTATACGCCATTTTCAGCATTTTAAAGCAATGGTTGAAAATTTATTTAACTCCACAATTAAAATTTTTCAAAGTGATGGAGGGGGTGAGTTTGATAATCATGGTATGTGAACTATTTTTGTTCAGCATGGAATTCTTTTTCGCAAATCTTGTCCTGACACTCCTCAGCAAAATGGGGTTGCTGAACGAAAACATTGTCATCTACTTGAATTAACTCGCACTATGTTCCTTGAAACTAAGTTTCAAGCTCAATTGGGTAGATGCGATTTTTACGGCTACCTATATTATCAATTGTCTCTCTACTCCGAATTTAAATGGCATCTCTCCGTTTGAAAAACTTTTTCACAATCCTCCCGACTTCTCCTTTTTGCGTGTATTTGGATGTGCCTGCTTTCCAAATTTTAATGTCACATCTCCCAATAAGCTCTCTCCCCGATCGACGTTGTGTAGGGCTGAGCAAAACCCGAACCGACCCGCAAAAACTGACTTTTTTTCCGGATATTATCCGATTGGATATGGATATCCGACCCGAAAAACCCAAAACCGAAAATCCGATTAGTATTGGGCCTAAACCGGGTGGCGGGTAGGGTTTGTAAAATCCCGACCCGCCCGAAATATCCGAAATATATTAAATTATATAGGGTGTACTTTGAATATGTTAAATTAATGTTTGTGTTCAATTATTTGTGTAATTATTTGTGCAATTTGTTTCAAATTATTTGTGTAATTTGAATGTGTAGTGCACTAGTGTGTACAATTTTTGTCAAAGTGACCTTCCAACACTTTAATTATCCAATTATAATGAGTTTTAATATAATTGAAATGTCTGAAACCCAATCCGATATCCGATAATATACAACTTAAAAATATCCGAAATATCCGATTTGAAATTTCAAAGGGTTGGGCCTAGTATTTATATTTAAAACCCGCACGGGTTTAGGGTACGCAGACCCGACCCGCCCGAACCCAACCCATGCACAGCCCTAACGTTGTGTGTATTCTTGGAGTTTGGTCCGGAGTATAAATGTTATCGACTTATCGTTGTTTTGATCCTACTACCGGAAAAATTAGAAAGTGAGGTTCTTCGAAAATTATTTTCCGTACCCAGACTTAGTTTCTTCCTCCACACAATCAGCTTTGCCTCCATTGTCACCGGCGTCTACCGTTGAACTTCTCGAACTATCCACATTTACTCCTGCTTCCGTTTGCAATACTCCCGCTCTTTCTGCCACCTCCACCTTCCCAATATCCCAGCCACTTCACCCCACTGCCAACACAGCCAGGGAGTAAATTGTAGGAATCTGTCCATTTCTATATAAATTGTGAAACACCTCTCAATATTAACTTTCTTAAATTGCTTCGTCAGTTTTACCTTCATTTGCAGATGTATTTTTTATGGTCAGACTCAGTTAACAATTCTGGAGAAGCATTGCCATATCTTACGCTTATGAAGTGTTTTTCAGTTGCAAAATCACGGCCATGTATGATCTATGATGGTCAGTGGTTAGTCATGAGTGGAGAAAGGATTATATTTATAGAGCTATTATATGTCTCTTCTTTTGCCGGAATATTATGTC